TAACTATAGTCATAGTATAGTACTATACTATAGAATAGTGACTATAGCCCTAGCCGGTTTCGCACAGTGGTTAGAGCTTTAGCCCGCGCACTGAAGGGTCATGGGTTCAATTCCAGTTAAGGGCAAGTACCTCGGTTGCAGGCTTGATCTCTGACAGGTCAGGGCACATGCAGGAGACAACCAATCAATGTGTCTCTCTTACATCAATGTTTCTTTCTCTTTCTACCCCTCCTTCCCTCCCTTCCACTCTCTCTAAAAATCAATGAAAAAAATATCCTCAGGTGAGTATTAACAAAAAAAAGTGGCTAGAGTTAATAATTCTGTACTATATATTTAAAAGTTGCTAAAAGAGACCTCAAACGTTCTAATCACACACAAAAAAATGGTAACTGTGAGATGACTGATGTGTTAATGAACCATATTGTGCTAATCATTGTGTAACATATATGTATAGCAAATCATCACATGAAACTTAAAAAATGCTATATGATAAATATATTTCAATGAAGCTGGGAAAAAAAGATTACAGCTTACATTGTCCATTTGAAATATATGCATGGAACAGACTGACAGATCTCAGAGAGGAGGGTGGGGGGGATGGGAAGAGATTAACCAAAGAGCTGGTATGTATATATGCATAGCCTATGACCACAGAAAATTTTGTGGTGAAGGTCTGGGGTGGGGCAGGGGCCAGGAGGAGGGCAGTAAAGCAGGGGAAATGGGGGACATCTGTGATACTGTCAACAATAAAAAAAGAAATAAAAAAATACCAATGGCAGCCTAACAGGTTTGGCTCAGTGGATAGAGCGTCAGCCTGCGGACTCAAAGGTCCCAGGTTCGATTCCCGTCAAGAGCATGTACCTTGGTTGCTGGCACATCCCCAGTAGGGGGTGTGCAGGAGGTAGCTGATTGATGTTTCTCTCTCATTGATGTTTCTAACTCTCTATTCCTCTCCCTTCCTCTCTGTAAAAAGTCAATAAAGTATATTTTAAAAAATACCAATGGCATATTTCACAGACCTAGAACAAACTCTCCAAAAATTCATCTGGAATAAAAAAGACCCTGAATAGCCACAGCAATCCTGAGAAGGAAGAACGAAGTTGAAGGGATCCCAATACCAGATATCAAGCTACATTACCAAGTCACGGTTCTCAAAACTGCATGGTACTGGCACAAGAACAGACATATAGACCAATGGAACAGAACAGAGAACCCAGAAATCAACCCAAGCCATTATGCTCAATTAATATTTGACAAAGGAGGCAAGAAATCAAGACAGTCTCTTCAATAAATGGTGCTGGGAATTTGGTCAGATACATGCAAAAAAATGAAACTAGATCACCAACTTACACCATACACAAAAACAAACTCAAAATGGCTAAAGGACTTAAAGGTAAGACGGGGAACCATAAAAATCCTACAAGACTCAATAGGCAGTAAAATAGCAAACATATGTCGTAGCAATATCTTTATAGACACAGCTCCTAGGGCAATGGAGACTAAAGAAAATAAACAAATGGGACTACATAAAAATAAAAAGCATCTGCACAGCAAAAGAAACCATCAACAAAACAACAAGAAAGCCCACTGCATGGGAGGATATATTTGCCAATGTTATCACTGATAAGGGTTTAATCTCCAAGGTTTATAGGGGACTCATACAACTTAACAAAAGGAAGATAAACGATCCAATCAAAAAATGGGCAAAGGACCTAAATAGACACTTTTCAAAAGAGGACATACAGAAGGCCCAGAGACATAAGAAAACATGCTCAAAGTTACTAGTCATACGAGAGAGGCAAATCAAAATGACAATGCGGTACCATCTCACCCCCGTCATCAACAAATGAACAAACGACAAGTCCTGGCGAGGATGTGGAGAAAAAGGAACCCTCATGCACTGCTGGGGGGGAATGCAGACTGGTGCAGCCACTATGGAAGACGGTATGGAGTTTCCCCAAAACGTTAAAAGTGGAACTCACATTTGACCCAGTAATCCCACTTCTAGGACTATATCCCAAGAAACCAGAATAACCAATCAGAAAGGATATATGCACCCCTATGTTCTTAACAGCACAATTTACAATAGCTAATAATTGGAAACAGCCTAAGTGCCCATCAGCAGATGAGTGGATTAAAAAACAGTGGTACATCTACACAATGGAATACTATGCCACTATAAAAAAGGAGCTTTTACCATTGGCAACAGCATGGGTGGAACTGGAGAGCATTATTCTGAGGAAAATAAGCTAATCAGAGAAAGATAAATATCACAGGATCTCAGTCATATGTGGGATATAATGATCAATATAATTTGATGAACAAGAACAGATCCAGAGACAAAAGGCAGGGGAGGGGTATTTAGAGAGCAACCAAATATGTATGCAAGCATATTAGCATAAACCAATGGACAGACACTGGGGTGGTGGGGGCTTGCCTGGGGTGGGAATGGCTGGGGGGTGGTTCAATTGGGGGAAAAGGAGACATATGTAAAACTTTAGACAATAAAAATATTATAAAAAAGACATATAAAAAAAGGAAGAACAGCTAGCTGTTGATAACAACTGAAAAAAAGCAAAGAATAAAAACACAACAACAAACCCTGGCCAGTATATTCAGTGGTTAGAGTGTTGGCCTGAGTACCTAAGGGCCATGGGTTCAATTCCCAATCAAGGGCACCCATGTACCTGGGTTGCAGGTTTGATGACCAGTGGGGGGCGTGCAGGAGGCAGCCAATCGATGTTTGTCTCTCATCAATGTTCCTATCTCTCCCTCCTCCTCCCTTCCTCTCTCTCTAAAAATAAATTTTAAAAAACACACCACAAAACAAAATAAAAAGAAACCCCAAGAAACTGCCGTACTATCTTGACTATGGTTACAGTCCCATAGATATGATAAAACACTCAAATTGTACATTTTAAACATGTACAGTTTATTGAATGTTAACTATACTGAAATAAAACTGTTAAAATGTTTTTTAAACAAATAAATATATGTTTTTCCAAACTCATCCCTTTTTTCAGTAAGTATGAATGTATAATTTTGACAATAAAAGTTTATGGAACACTGTCAAATTTTTACCTTGTCACATGTATTGAGGTCATTAAGAGAAAGGCTCTGATGATATATACACTGAAGTATTTACAGATAAAACGTGATGCCTGCAATATACTCTCAAACAGTTCAGACAGAGAAAAAGGGAGAGGGAGGAGGTGAGAGGAAGAGGAAGAGGAGGAGGAAAGGGGAATGAGCGGGGGAGGAGGAGAGGAAAAAAGGGAAGACAAGGGGGGAGCAGAATGATAGAAAATGATAAAGAGTGATATAGAAATAGAGAATGACATAGAGAATGATAAAGCAAACACGGCAATGTGTTCATTGGTAAATCCTGATAAACGGTATATGCGAGTTTGTTGTAATATTCTCACACATTTTCTTTAAGTGTAGAATTAGATCAAGATTTTAAAAGTTTAAAAAAACACAAGCATAATGTCAGCAATAATTCCATCACTGAATAGTATAATCACACTGCTCCATGTACTTAATGAAAGAAAAAGTTTTATATTGTCACAATCAGTGGGATGAGGAGCCAGTATGTAATTCTGTTTTTTGTTAGCAGAAGGATAAAAAACATGAAACACTTTAGAGCAGAAAATAAGTTCATTTGTAATTGAATGAATGATTTCACAGTATGATTTTTTAAAAAGAGACACGTGTTTGTAGATTTAAAAAATTCCTCATGAGCAAAAAGAAGTAAGTGAAATTAAGAAAAACTGAATGATAAATCACTACATATAAAAACCTGTGAAATTCTTCTAAAGTGATAGTTAAAAATTTATAGTCACAAATTATTTTAGAAAAGTGAAAATTACTGAGCTAACGGTCCAAATAAATAAATAGAAAAAAGCAAACAGAAAGTAAAGAAAAATGATAAAAGCAAAAATTACTAAAATAGAAAAACAAATTATTCAGTGGTGAGACCTGATGAAATCAAAAGCAGGAAATGTATTAGAAATTAATTATCTTAATTTATCACACAGTCCCACTATCATATTAGTGGAGAAATAACCCATATGATCATGGCAATAAATACAAAGTACCTGGAGAAAAACTCCATAGTCATTCATAATAAAAACTTTCAGCAATTTAAGAAAAGAACTTTCTTGAGCTGAAAGGAAAATCTACTAAAAATAATGAAACATTTGCAGAATTCCCTTGTAAATTCAGTAGGAAGACAAGGAAATTCTCTATCACTTTTACTATATTTTGTTGTACTGAAGATCCTAGCTAGTACAGTAAAACAACCTTAAAAATTGCTAAAAATATTGGAAAAGCTAAAAAAATTGGAAAGGAAGAAACTGCCATTATTCCCAATATAATTAATAACAGAATCCACAAATTATTAGAATAAATAGAATTCAGAAAAGTTGCAGCATATTAAATCAGTATGTAAATATATGTAAATATATCAATCCTATTCCCATTTACCAGAAATAATCAGCTAAGGTGGTTTAAAAGATACATTTCACGCCGAAGCCGGTTTGGCTCAGTGGATGGAGCGTCGGCCTGCGGACTGAAGGGTCCGAGGTTCGATTCCGGTCGGGGGCATGTACCTGGGTTGCGGGCACATCCCTAGTAGGAGATGTGCAGGAGGCAGTTGATCAATGTTTCTCTCTCATCGATGTTTCTGACTCTATCTCTCTCCCTTCCTCTCTGTGAAGAATCAATAAAATATATTAAAAAAAAAAAGATACATTTCACAGTAACAATCAGAAATGATAAGGTAATTAGGAGTTAATCTAACAAAACAGTTTATAGATTACATTATTATGTGGTATATATTGTTTCATATAGTGTAGATAGAAAGTAGTTTCACTGTTATCATTTGGTGATAACTTTTTGGTTTTTGTTTGGCTAGTCATTTGTAATGTCAGGATCAAGTGTAGTGTTATAATAAATTTATTTTTATTCCCCTTTTAATGAGTTCTTGGCAAAGACATTACCTTAAAAAAATCACAACTTTCCATTCCAGTGCAGAAGAACAGAAAAATCAGGGTAGCGTTGTCAACAACCCTCATTGTCGTCATTGGATAAACTATTTCATGAACGCAGCATGGAAATGGAGTCCTACTGCAATCCCTCCAAAACTGAAAAATAGTAAAATAAGGTTAAATCATTTTTTCTGTTGCTGTTTATCTTTCCCTTGGCCTCCTCAAGTTCTTATGCTCCACCATGCCCATATTTCCATTATTTAGTCCTGCAAAACAGTTACATAGATAGTATTAGAAAAGGTTTGTTGCATAGCAATAATAATAATTAACAATATTAATAATAAGCATAATAATAAGCATAGACTATGCAAGCCCTTTAGAACAGTATTTGGCACATAAAGATGTTCAGTAAATATTTACTATTATGATAATTTTCAATGATTTGAGTCACTGGAAGGAATTATGTAGCTCTGGCACTTCTTGCCGTATCTAAGCACTGTTCTCCCTCTACTCTCCCACCCACTGCCAATACTGGTTTGGACATGGAGCTAAAGCTGAGGGAAGTGAGGCTGTAAGGAATGGCCAGGCGATGCTTTCAGGTAAAATAGAGCTCATTCCTTTTCTATGGACTACCACCAAACCCTAAATCCAGAACCCTCTTAGTCGCGACTGTTTTCTTATCATTCATTGACTTATTTATTCAAGTATCTGTTTCACTCCTACTATGTACCAGGCACTATTCCTTGGTCACACATCCCTTCCAGCTGCCAGCACAATGCCTAGTCCATTGTAAGGGCTTCATAGAGAGGTTTATTGCAGAAGTGAAGAAAGGATGGCCTGTCTCCTTTAGATTACTAGGAACTGTGAGGCTCAGATCAGATTTGGTTTTAGTTTTTGCTTTCTATAAGCTGATGTAAATAGAAGATGGTTTCTCTGATGTTAAAAACTGAGCTCCTAAAATACATCCCTTGCTTGAAAATCTTCCATGGTGGCCAATGCTCATGGCTTAAGCTGCATATTCAAGTTTAGTATAACATTCAAGGCCCTCCAACATTGTATCTCACCTCCTAAGGTCTCACAAGTTTCAGAGTTCAAGCCAAGCTTTCCCCAGAACAAACCTGTCTTGGGGTTTTTGTTCTAGAAACAAAAGTCCTGAAAAACAGTCTCTCCACCTCCACAGGGCAGATGTCACTCGCTCTTTAAGACTCACCCACATTTCCCTTTTCCTCCCTGAAAGTTCATGATTACTATCAGGTAGAACGAGTTGGTCCATCCTAGGATGCTTCCTGAATATCTGAACAAGCAAACATTATGGCACCTGGGTTTGACTGACCATATTGTCACTGCTTTTACTTATTAAGTTCCCCCACCATACACAGGTAAACACACACTTACGTACCTCACCTTAGAAACCCCATTGGCACAGTGCTAGGCATAGCAATTAGGCCTTGCATACATTGTTGTTATTAATCTGGAGCTAAGCAGTTTCAAATGGAAAAGTTTCAAATGTACACAAAAGTAGTGAGAACATTATAATGAATCACCATAATGCATCGCCTAGCTTTAACAATTATCAACTGATGAAGCTTTAGTTCGTACCCCTCACCTGGACCCCACTAAATTACTTTTGAGTATATAAAAACATTCAAGTCTATTTCTTAGAAAATATAACCCACAATGATCACAACTGCTATAGGGTGTCCCCCCCTTCCAAATGTATACACACACTTTGAATAATTATAAAGGCAGTGGTTATGAAAATACATTTCCTTTTCAAAATTGAGCTATCAGCTCTTGACGTGTGGATACATTTTTTTGGGGGGGAAACTTGTATATTAAAAATAATTACTGAATGCCATTAAATATCCAAAATTTCATCCAAGCATATTTTATGAAAGAGCTATTTAACGTCTGCCTATACTTTCTTCAATTTTTAAAATCATGGAGAGAACGGAGGGCGGGGGTTGGGGGGCTGGGGGGGACGGGAAGGCGAGCTGGGAGACGCATAATTAAGTTTCTGAGAGGCAGAATGTCCCAGATGAGAAAGAATCTGACCTGGCTTAGGGTGGGAGAAGTCTATTCTACGACTTCTCCGGAGGAAGAGGATGCGACTTCAGGCCGGGAGATGCCGGAGGAGGTGCGGAGGGGAGAGGGGTACCTCTGTTTGGGGTCCCTTCTGGATAATCCCACCGTGGAGCTAAGAGGCAGCGCTTTCTCGGAGGCTTGCTTTCCCGCGTGTTTGCAGACGGGAGCGTGGATCTCCCGGAGGGACAAGGTTGGTCCCCCATAAGGATTCTAGGACCTGGGCGTCAGCTCTCTCCGGTGGGCCCCAGCCAGGCGGAGACCTGAGATGGCGGCGGGTCCCCTCCCCTCCAGACCAAGAGCTTCCTCCGGGTTCCACTCCTACCGTATTTCCTGTATCCCGAGACGTATATCCCCTCTCCGCCTCCACTGGGCTCCCTACCCTACCCCATTTTAACATCTCTACGAGGATGGGTCTTTGAAAAAGATACGTTTATGTAATACAATGTTTTCCATCGTCTCTCCCCCTTAATGTAGCGGATGCCATGGACAGTCGGATACAACCTATGCAATTTTATGATGAGAAGAAATTGGGGTTGACTCCTAAATCGTAAACTCTACATCGATTATTGACGGGCGCGAAGTGGGAGGGGCGGGTTGGGCGAACAAAGAAATTATTGAAGAGCTAAGGGCTTTAGGATGGAGCTGCAGACGAGACTCTTTCAAAAATGATATACACCCGTGATAGTTTACGAAAGTGCAAAATAGGACACGGGAACTGACCTTGGAAATTGATGTGGGAAATAAATTCACCGTATGTCATAGAATCTAACATCACTTTTTTGTTCATATTTTGGCAAATTAGAAACCTCGGAAGGCTTACCTTTCAAAAAATGTTTCAGCATCTAGGACAGTGGTTCTCAACCTTCCTGATGCCGCGACCCTTTAATACAGTTCCTCATGTTGTGACCCAACCATAAAATTATTTTCGTTGCTACTTCATAACTGTAATTTTGCTACTGTTATGAATCGTAATGTAAATATCTGATATGCAGGATGTATTTTCATTGTTACACATTGAACATAATTAAAGCATAGTGATTAATCACAAAACAATATGTAATTATATATGTGTTTTCTGATGGTCTTAGGCAACCCACAGGTTGAGAACCGCTGATTTAGGACATCTTGGACAATTGATGGCATGCCATACTTTAATTGGCAATGTTTATTTTTTTCCCCTAAAGTTGTGGAAAATAATGATTCATCTTATTATCGCAAGTTTTATATTCTATGATATACGGTAGCAACCAGAAGGGGGTGCAAATTGGCATAGAAGACGAGGCTACTAGACATTACTTCGACATTCACACATTCACACCCATCCCCCTTTGGCTACTGAGAACTGGACCACACATTTACAGCACTGTCCTCATTTTTAAAAAAGGGAAATAGTTCCTTTTTTTTAGTTCCTTAAATATGGCAAACCAAACTTTGCCATATTTAAGTAGTTGATTAAACACTTGGAGCGTTACTTTCCAGAAGATAATGCTTTTTTTTCTTGCAGAACTAGTGCCATAATCAGATATAATACAATTAAAGCGCTTATTAACCATGATTGCCTCTCATCTCCACCGTCACTGCCTTCCTCCAAATACCAGCACAGCCTTTAATGCAAATTAGATGCTCGGGAAATGTTGGGAACATAAATGATCCTACAGTTTTCTACCAATAGGTTAAGAGAAATATGTGAAGGAATCAAGAGAAAAAGTTCTAGAGCTAGAGGAGGGGTTGGGACTAGACATATAGATGTGGGGATCAGTAACATGGATGTGGTAGTTGAAATCGTGAGAACGGATGATATCCCCAAGAGAAAATACAGAGAAAAGAGAAGTGAGCTAAGACAGAATAGTGAGTAATTAGAGACAGAAAAAGAGAAGGCTGCTTGCTACAAAGGCTAAGAAAAATGGCCAAAGTCAGAGGAAAGAACTCTAACGCAGGGTTTCTCACACTTGACACTATTGATATTTGAGGACAGATCGTTCTTGGAGAGGTGGAGAGAGGCTGTCCTGCGCATTGTAGGATGTTTAACAGTATCCCAACCCAGGCCAGTAGCACCCCACTTGCCCTTTCCTAGTATTTTATTTATCTCAGTGAATGTCATGCCTTTGACCCAGTAGAAGCCAAACTTTGAGTCTTTATTTTTTTTTATATTGAAGAATGTGTTATTATTTCCCAAAGTAAGTGAAGTGACATTTTTACAATCTTTTTACATGGGCCTCCAAATCTTCGAGACTAAAGACTTTAAGAGTAAAAGTGGAAATGAAGTTGTTTTATAGCTATAGTTTTCGTAAATTAAGAGAAATATGTGCCCATTTTAGTGAAATTACTTCTATGTTAAGCGTTTTCTCCCCCGCTCTCCCCCGCCCCCAACAGTGATGAATTAGCCGAATGTGAATCATGGAACCAGAAGAGGGCACTGTTAAATTGAAGAACCAGATTTAAAAAGGGCTGTAGATCTGAATTTCTCTTATAATTTCAAGTGCCCAAAGAGAGTACAAAGACAAAGAACAAAACTGAACTCACCTCTGGGTGACATTAATCGGTTTTGATATTTTTTTTTAATTGAGAAGTTGGTTAATTCATTGTGATTTCTTTTTTTAAATTTTGTTTTATTGCTTAAAGTATTACAAAGAGTAGTACATATGTCTCCTGTTTTTTCTCCCCTTGACAATCCCCTGGCCTCCCCTACCCCCCAGTGTCTGTGTCCATTGGTTATGCTTATATGCATGCATACAAGTCCTTCGGTTGATCTCTCACCACCACCCCCGTTGTGATTTCTTTAGGAAATGAGCTTTCATCTCCAGGTTAAGACTTCTTCTCTTCTATGTGAAAATATAAAGGACTTCTCTGTTAATTGAATCTCAAAGGGAAGAGGGGAGGTGGTCCAGGAAGAGATTAACCAAAGAATTTATATGCACATATGCCTTACCTAAGGACAGAGACAATAGGGTGATGAAGGCCTGGGACAAAGCAGGAACCTGGTGGAGGAGGGCAATGGGGAGACATCTGTAATATTCTTAACAATAACGGTTTAAAAATTTTTTTAATGTTGACATTATTGCAGGAGTCTTCCTCCCCTCCCTCCCTTTGCCCGCCTCCACTCTCTCCCACCTCCCCCTTCCTTGGCCTAAGTACATATCTAAGGACAAGAATCTTGGAGTTTCTGCAACATTCTCATAAAATGAAAAATAAGAATAATTTGGAGGGAGAATACACATATGATTTTTTGGTTTTATTTTAGGTTTTAATGAATTATTTAACAAGAAATTTTTAAGAACTATATGAAATATCCAGTTTTTATACTTATTTTATTTTTATTTATTTAATTTTTTTATTGATTTCAGAGAGGAAGGGAGAGGGAACAAGAGATAGAAACATCAGTGATGAGAGAGAATCATTGATCAGCTGCCTCCTGCACACCCCCCACTGGAGATCGAGCCCACAACCCAGGCATGTGCCCTTGACTGAAATCGAACCCGGACCCCTCAGTCCGCAGGTCGACACTCCATCCACTGATCCAAACCAGCCAGGGCTGTTTTTAACTTAACCATACAGCTTGACAAGTTTTCCAGATAACACATTCTTTATTCCCATTTTTAAATGTCTTTTTAAAGGCTTCACAAAATCCCAATTTATGGATTTACCATAATTTTTTAACTTTATTTTTATTATTGACACTATTACAGATGTCCCCATTCCCCCCCTTTGCCCACCTCCACCCAGCCTCCTGCTCCCCTCCCTCCCCTTTCCCTCTGGCCATCAGCACACTTTTGTCTGTGTTTATGGGTTATGCATATATGTTCTTTGGCTAATCCCTTCACCTTCTTTCATCCAGTTCCCCCCCCCCCCACACACACACACACTCCCTCTGACAGCTGTGAGTCTGTTCCATGTATTCATGCCTCTGTTTCTATTTTGTCTGTCAGTTTACTTTGTTCATTAGATTCCACATATAAGTGAGATCCTATGGTGTTTGTCTTTCTCTGACTGGCTTATTTCTCTTAGGAAATAATCTCCAGGTCCATCTATGCTGTCACAAAAAATGAGATTTCCTTCTTTTTTATGGCCATTGTGTAAATGTACCACAGCTTTTTTATCCACTTATCTACTGATGGGCACTTGAGCTGCTTCCAAACCTTGGTCATTGTAAAGAACGCTGCAGTGAACATAGGGGTGCATATAAAATTCTTACAAGAAAACAGGGGCATGACTTCTTAACCAAAGAATTTATATGACTTGGATTTGGTAATGGATTCACAGATATGATGTAGAAAGCACAAACAACAAAAGAAGAGAGAGATAAGTTGAACTTCATCTAAATTATAAACTTTTATGGATGAAAGGACATTATCACAGAAGTGGTAAGAACCCACAGAATAGAAAATATTTGCAAATCACACAACTGATAAGCATCTGGTATCCAGAATATATGAAGAGCACTTAAAATTCAGAAGATGAAAAATTTTAAATGGACAAACATTTGAAGAGACACATCTCCAAAGAAAATAGACCAATATCCAATAAGCACATGAAAACATGCCCAACATCACTAGTCATTAGGAAAATGCAAATCCAAGCCACAATAAGATACCATCTCACACACAATAAGATGGCTACTATCACATAGCAAAGAAACCATCAACAAAATGAAAAGACAACACACTGAATGGGAGATCATATTCACAAATGATACATCTGATGAGGGGTTAATTTCCAAAACACATAAAAAACTCATACAACTTAACAAAGGAAGACAAACAATCCAATTAAAAAATGGGCAAAGGTCCTAAATAGTCACTTCTCCAAAGAAGACATATGAAAGAGACATGTGAAAAAATTAAAACCACCCTGAGATATCCCCTCACACCTATCAGAATGGTTATAATCAACACTTGTTATCTTTTTTATAATAACCATTCTAACAGGTGACACAAGATATATCATTTTGATGTGCATTTTGCTAATAATTAGTGAAATTGAGCATCTTTTCATGTGCCTGTATATCCTCTTTGGAAAAAAAAAATTTATTCAGTTCCTCAGCCCATTTTTAACAGGATTGCTTTTTTATTATATGCTTGCTATTGTGTTGTATGCATTCTTTTTAAAAAAATATTTTATTGATTTTTTACAGAGAGGAAGGGAGAGGGATAGAGAGTTAGAAACATCAATGAGAGAGAAACATCGATCAGCTGCCTCCTGCACACCCCCTACTGGGGATGTGCCCACAACCGAGGTACATGCCCTTGACCGGAATCGAACCTGGGACCTTTCAGTCC